TAATGGTATTGTTCTCATTTCCGTTGTTTCTATTAATGGAAATGCTAATACAGTTATTGATCACTCTTGATTATGCAATAATACTGATAATCCCGTCGTTAATTTTAATCCTACTAGAATTTCACCTTCTTCTTTAAAAGGAAGAGGTAAATGACTTTTCTTGCTTTATTTGGTTTTATGTTTTCATTTTATTATAATGATTTCTCCAAATTTAGTCTCTTGGAATGTTTGTGGGCATAATAATGAAGTTCTTATTGTGGATTCTAAGAATCTTTTGAAAGATTTTAAGATTGATCTCATTTATCTTTTGGAGACAAAATTATCTCTTTCTACTATATTTGACCTTTATGTTTTAAATCAATTCTCTTTCTTTCCTAATGAAGGTTGTGTGGATAATTTTAATACTTCTGATAATAACAAAATTTGGATCAAATGAAATAGATATATTCTTAATTTTATCGTTCTTAAAAAATATCCTCAATTTATTAATTGCTTTATTTCCTTTTCTTCCAATATTAATATATATATTATTGTTGTTTATGCTCATAAGAGTGCTTTAAATAGGAAATTTCTTTGGGACTCTATCATTTCTTTATTTGATAGTGTTTCTAAGCCTTGGTTGTTGTTGGGAGATTTTAATTACATTTGAACTATTAATAAGAAAGCCGGAGGATTGCCTTTTTTACCTAGTAAACTGTTTGATTTTAATAATTATATTTCTAATGATACTCTTATTGAACTTTAGAATACTGGTTAATCTTTTAGCTGGTTTTGTAATCAATTAAATAATGCCATTAGATGTTTATTGGATAGAGCTTTTTGTAACGACTCTTGGATTAATTCCTATTTGAAATCTTCTTTTAAAGTTTAAAATAGTTATACTTCTGATCATCTTCCAATTTTGATTTTCCTTGGAAAATTTAATCTCTTATATGCATATTTATGTTTAGAAATTATTGAACTCACTGTCATAATTTCATTCAAATTGTTTTTTCTGCTTGGAATATAGTTGTTAAGGGGATCATATATTTTCATCATGCAATAAACTTCATAATGTTAATCTTCCCCTCAGAGGTTGGCAATGGAGTCCTTATAATTCTCTATCTAAATCTATTGTTGATCTTAAAGAGAGAAAAAAAAGATATTCTTTCTCTTTTAGAGGTTTCTCGTCTTTCTGAAAGCTTGCTCAATTTTCTGATTTACAGCATAGTGTTTCTGAAGCTAACATTTGTAATTATAGATGGGCCATGCAAAGGGCTAAATGTTCTTGATTATCAAAAGGTGAATATGATGTTAAATTTATTTTTTTAAGTTAAGATTAGATATAATGTTAATTTTATCAATGAAATTTTAGTCAATGATAAATATTTTCAAAATAAAAATGACATTGTTGATGAAGCTATATCTTTCTATTCTTCCTCGTTAAATGATAAAGGGGAAGATATTTAATTATGAAATTTCTATTACTCATAAAGTGTCTGAGACTGATAATGTTCTGTCTTAACTCAAACGTTTTCTGCCGAGGACATTAAACGCTTGGTCCTAATGGTTTTAATTCTAATTTTTATAAAGAAACTTGGAAAACTATTGAAAATTATTGTATTGCTACTATTTATCATCTCTTTCAAACTTCTAAGTTGTCTCAGGGAGTGAAACTTACTGCTCTTGTCATCATTCCTAAAAGCTCAAATGCTAAAGCTTTTTTCTGCTTTGTGCCTTTTATCCTTATGTAATACTTTTTATAAAATTATTGCTTTACTTTTAGCTAGTAAAATCAAATATATTATTCCCAATATTATTCATCTTGCTTAGGCTGCTTACATAAAGGGTCGTGATATAGCTGATAATATTATTTTAGCCAATGAAATGCTTTATGGTTTCAATTCTCATAATTCTACCAAACAATATTGTGCTAAAATTGATATTGTCGAAGCTTTTGATAAAGTCAATAGGAACTTTTTATTTCTTAGATTAGAAAGACTAATTTTCCTGTTATTTTCATTAATTGAATCTAAGCTTGTATTGCTGATGTTATTTTTTATGTTATCATTAATAATGAATTAAAAGCTACTTCCCGTCTACTTTTGGTCTTTGACAATGATGTCATTTATCCTTATCTTTTTTTATTTTGTTACGGACTCTCTTTCTGTTATGATAGATAAAGTTTTAAATCATGATTGCTCTATTATTTCTCATATGATGTATGCTGATGTTATTATTTTATTTTGTAAATCCGATACTCATGTTATTTAGCATATTGATAAGTTTTTTGAAATATTTGACATTTCTTTCATTCTTTACATAGATGCTACTAAATATGCTATCAATTTTTCTAAAACTATCGATGTCTCTACTCAGCATATTATTTTTTTATTATGTGGTTGTACTATTAAACATTTTCGTTGAAGATATTTGGGAGTTATTATTAAACCTGTAAATTATTAATCACTGACTGTCACATCCTCTTGATAAAATCAAATATTGGTTAGCTGGATGGAAGAAAAGCTTTTATTTTCTGTTGGAAAAATTTAACTCATTAAATTTACTTTTTGGAGTTATTTATATTATTGGTTTCGTTCTATCATTCTTCCTACAGTTTTGCCTAAGAAAATAACTTCCATGATGTCGAATTTTCTTCAAAATCATGAAGAAGGTAATAAACTTCAAATTATTTCTTGGAACAAATTCAATATGCCTAAAATTTGTGATGGTATAGGTCTTCCCTCATTATACACTATAAATACTATGTGCAAGACTTAAATTATTTAAAAATATTATAATTTTCATTCTATCTTATCTAGTTTATGTTTAAAACATTATACTTATATATGGAAGACTACTTGTTCTAAAATCTCTCATTTTTTGAAAGATTTAGTTAAAGTGGCTAAAAGAATAAGATTTTCTTTAACTTTTAAAGTTACAGGGAATAACAATTTATTATTCTTTTATGACCATTGGTTTAATAACTTATCTTTAAAGGAAAGACTTGTAGATATTATCTTTTTCTGGTTCCATTTTTCTTATCAAGCAAAAATTTGTGATATTTTGAAGAATAATAGTTGAAATTTGAAATGTTTTAACAATACTCTAGTTATTATTATAAATTAAATTGAGAATATTCCTATTCACAATATGTTAATTGTCTTTGGAAGAATGAGAGTAATTACTGTCATAAAATTGTTTTTTATTTCTCATATGAATCTTTTCCTATTGTGAACTAGTTTTAATTTATATAGTTTAAAGGTAATGCTATTCAATTCTCTTTCTCTGCTTGGAAAATTGTTTATAAAGGTCTTACAACTTATGATATCCTCAATCTTCGAGGCTTTAATTTTCATAATTATTGTGTACTTTGTTCTTATAATATTGAGAACCATGACTATCTTTTCTTTGAATGCCATTTCTCTCGTTATCTTCTTAAAAAATTGTGTTCCTTATAGTAATTTTTTCATGGCTCCTTTGAACTTCTCTTAAATTTTGTATCATTCCAATAATATTTTTTGCAAAATTCAAAGAAGATTTCATCTTCTTAATTTACAACTTATTGCTTATTATATTTGGAAAGAAAACAATACTAGAATTTTTCTTAGCATAGATCTACTCCTATTAAGTCCATTATTTGTAATATTCATTGGATTATTATTTTTAAAAGTAGGAATAGAAAATTTTAAAAAAAATATACCTAGTTATATTATTGATTTTTATGGTGTTATGTATAACAGCTATTTACCATTGTGGTTTTCATCTTTGCGGCTTTTCATCTTGTGTTGTGTTATTGGTGATGTTCTAATAGCTTTTTCATGGCTTGTTTGGACGAGCCTTTAGTGGTTTGATGCTCTATGTACCCATTATTTTTGTTAGTTTTTGAATTGTTATCTATTGTTGGTGGTTTTGGCTTGCTTAGTAAATGGTTTGGTTTGAGCAATCTGCTGCTGCTTGCAGTTGATTTTGGTTATAGAGGGTTGTTTGGATTATGGTTACTAGTTATTGTTCTTAGTTTCTGATTAGCCTTTGTAACCATTACTGGTTGTGGTATGTTATGGTTTTTTATTTTATTGATTTGTGATTATATTGATATTTCTATTTGATCTTTGCCTTTTATTGAGATTTGGTTTCGAGCTTTGATATATACCAACATTTTTTTAAAAAATTCAACCAATTTCTGAATATATTTTGTATATTTGAAAGTTTGGAAGAAATTTTAATTTTTTTAATCAATTGTGCTCTTATTGATGCTTTTGGCTAGCTTGGTGTAATTTTTAGGTTTGGTGAACTGCTGGTGCTTGTAGCTGATTTTGATTGTAGAGAGCAGCTTGTATATTTGTTACTAATTATTAATTTTGATTTCTGGTTTATCTTTATAGCTTTTTTGTTAGTCGTGGTATGTGATAGTTTTTATTATATCGATTTTTGGTTATAATGATGTTACTACTTGATAGTTGCTTTTTGCTGGGATTTGATTTTGAGCTTTTATGAACACCAAACATTTTTCTTAAATTCAATCACTTTTTGAATATTTTTTTATATATTTAAAAATTTGGAAGGAATTTTAATTTTTTTATCAGGCAAGTTCTGAGTTTTTTGTATTATTTTTATATTAGTGTTTTTTTTTTTGTTTTTTTGCTTCTTTAATTGGCTACTTTTTTGTTTTTTTTTTGTAGGTTTCTTCTTTCTTGTGCCTTTTCAGTGGAGTTTGTTGTTGTTATTAAGTTTTTGTGGTTGTTTTTTAGTGGACGAAAGAGTGGCTTCTTTCATTTGATGATTCTGGATCTACTTCATCTTTTTCTTTGACATAAAGATAACTTTTGTTTGATGTTTTTGGATTGGTGTTCGTACTTCAGGTGTTGAAGTTGTAGTTGTTGTTGTTGCGGATTAATTATATTAGGTGTAGTTTTCATTGTTACCAGTGATGTCGCTTTTAGTTTGCTTAATTATGATGTTTTTAGTGTTTCTTTTTATTTTCCTTCTTGATTGAGATGTAATTGTATTTTCTCAGTTTTTTTAATAAAGCTATGTATATATACATATATATACTCCTGACCTATTTTTTCTTTATAGAATTAAAAGGCTCGGCCCAACGGCTACTTTCAGATCCACCAAACAGCAGTGTACCTCCCGCCCGTTGACACCAAATTTGAAATCCAAATACCAACAGCCAACACTCAATCCAAATACCAACAGCCAACACTCCTCGATACCCGTGTCATCCTCCGCCAATCCTCTTATAAGTCTCTCAGTCCTACTTTACCTCTCCACCATACCTTCCTCATCTCTTCTCGTCCTGATCAGAACCCGAAGCGAAACCAATGGGCGTTTGCTTCAGCAAGAAGAGAGATCCTTCCTCCCCGACCAAAGCTCTCTCCAACAACTTACCCAAACAGAATGATACTTCAGTGAAGGAAGAGAAGGAGGAGCCTAAAGTAGCAGAGAAGAAGCCGGTTCTCTCAGCGGCCACTCCTGCCTTGAGGTCAAAGAAGGCTTTCGTTGCTGAAGAAAAGGAGAGAAAGGAAGGGGAAATACCTGCGAAGAACAGCTCCCAGGCTGAAGAGGAACAGGTTTGTAAAGTTGCAGCTGCCGCTGATGAGCAGCAGCCGGCGCCATTGACGACTTCGAGCTGCACCAAAGAGGAACTCGATGCCATCCTGATCCAATGCGGCCGCCTTAGCCGCAGCTCATCTGGTAGGACTTCGAAGGAGACAGATGGAGGTAGGCAAAGGAGGTACTCTGGCTCTAAGAGAAGCTATGACTTTGATAACGAGGGGAGGAAGGAGCAAGAAGTTGAGCAAGATAATCAGTTGTCAAGGCCTTCTCCTCGCAGGCGAGCTCCCAACAGAGAGAGGTCAGGGAGTAGAGAAAGGGGGAATAGCAGAGAGAGAAGAGTGAGCAGATCTCCTGGAAAGAGATCTGAAGGTCCAGTTTCCAATACCTCTGTTTCAGATAAGCAGAGGCAGCAACCCGCTAAGATGGTATCTGTTCCTGCTAGGGAAAAGGGAGCTTCTTTTGTGAGCGGCGACGTTGGTGGTGGAAATTTGGGAGCAAAAAGGGCGACGGTCACCATGCCGTCCGGGGGATTGAGGAGCGCGTCTCCAAGGTCCCGGTCACCGGCTAACAACACCAGGCCATCTAATGAGAACGCCCAGCTTCAATCCCTGAGCAGGAATTCCTCTAGGAAGGCAGAGCAGTCTCCTTGTAGAAGAAATCCTCTGGCTGAAATCGATGACAGCTCACTTAGAAACCAGAATGGAGACTCCGACAATGGGTTTCAGAAGAACAGAGAAGTAGATGAGGGGGTGAGAAAGCAGGCGAGCACAATTTACTCTTTTCAGGTAACTCTGTTCTCACTTAATTTTTCTTCTCTGAATTTAGTTGATGAATGCTCTTTCAATCCAATCGATTCGGTAAAATTTCAACATATCTCTAAACAGAATTTAATAACAAATAGTAATGATAAACTACTCTGAGAAATTTGTTTTCTTATCAGTCTAATCTTTCAGCTGAATTAGCTTTCTCCTTCATTTCAGAAGCCTGGTGAAGGCATTAGCCAGATATGTAGTTCAGATCTGAGAAACAGCAGCCATGTCAGTGTCTCCATTAAGCAGCAGCAGCTAAAAAAGCAGGAAATATTAGAAGAAGAGAGAGATGCAAAGACAGCCATTGAAATAGAAAGCCACATCCCAAGAACACTAACAAGAACCAGATCATCAAGAAGATCATCCCGTGATCTTGACAATAACTCAGGACTCAATCCAACTTCTTATGCTTCCTTGTTACTTGAAGACATCCAGAACCAACAACAGCAGCATCACACTGCCTTCTCCCTCCCAGCCTGCATCTCCAAGGCTTGCTCCATCCTCGATGCTGTTGCCGATCTAAATTCCTCTTGCTCCGAACGCAGGAGCTATGAAGCAGACCAATCCACCAACAAAGGTGGATTTACTAGAAGGGGAATATTGGCTCGTAGGGAGCCATTTTTAGAGTCAGAGCTGGTAGTGAAAGATGATCTGATTGAGCCAAGCCTGCACAAGTATGTTACAGTGAGAGAAATTAGAAGGGATTTGGAGCCTCAGGAATCTGCTGGGAGCAATAGCTTCGAAGGGCAACCGTGGGCTTCCATGTGGGAGATGAATTCAGTTGATTCAGCCGGGGGGATTTTCATGACTGGTAACATGACTCAGGTAGAGGTTGGGGAGGAAGATGAAGTTGGCCAAGCTGGAAATCAGCAACAGCAGAAGTCATGGCAGAGATCAGGAGCTTCTTCCTGCAGAAGGAATTTCCCTGCTGATCGTGTGACTGCGGCAACGCCGCGGGGCCGCTGAGAAAGAAGAGGGAGTTTGAACACCGACCACTACAGCATGGCGGCCATGGATCTGGGAATGGAAAGGTTGGTGGGAGGGCTTTCTTTCCTCCGGTTCCTGCTGCAACTACTTGATCTCTAAGATGTCGAAGATGGAATTTACTGGAAGCGCATTTCTGAAGTTTTTTAGAATCTTTGTACCCTTATCTTCTTATGGAACATTTGTAATGATGTTCTAGAAAATTTGAGGGTATACATTTATTATTTCTGAAATGACATTAGTTTTTTGTTGCCTTTTTCATTATCATTTTTTTTAAATTTAAATCTTAATACATAAAATTAATATAGGGCATTTTAAGCTGTAAACGAGGTAAATCAAGCACGAGCCACTCTCGAATTAAGCTCGAACACGAGCCATTCTAGAATTAAGCTTGAGCTTATTTAATTTTATCTAGTTTTAGTCGGCTTAGGAGCCAGCTTGTTTATTATATAAAAAAAAGTGATGTTAGTTTAAAATTGTATTATAATAAAATAATAAATAGAATTAAGTACTTGAAGTAATATAATAAGAAATCACTTATGTAAAATATAAAATATTATTTTTAAAATATTTTTAATATTATATAGATGAAATCTTTAAATTCAATTTATTTTGGTATATTTTATAACAATATTTTTTAAAAAAATGAGTGGGAGCTACAAACAATTCTTATGCATTTTCCATATAACTACACCTCAAGTGTCATTTTTACGTTCCAACCTCAAATCTTTCACATTATAAATATTGTCATTACTAACTTTATAAAATTGACACCTTATGATTATTAATTCTTTAAATTGATCGTACATTTTTACATTCACAGTGCTCAAATTCTTAACTTCACACTATAAATGTCATCATTATTAATTTTATAAGAAAGATAAATATGAAGCGTTAGGTACTAGATATTTAAATACATAATAATTTTGCCGTGCGTATATGTAAAATTTTCATTTAACGCTCATGCACACATATATATATATATATATGAAAAATCCAAACATAAATTTTAATGATAATTTTTATAATTTTTATGAACTAAATCATCTCATACTCAATTAAAAACTTTGTTTAACAATGGTTTGACTTGAATACTTATTAATGCCCAGTATAGTTTATATTTTGTACGACTACTTGAACCAATAAGATATAGGGCCTTGGGTGTTTTTTCACCCCTGCTAAGACTCATTAAAGATACAAGCCCAGATCAAAATGAGAAAGAAGATGGACCCAAGACAAAAGATGTTTAAACAAAGATCCGCTGAGTACCCTTGGTCGAATGTGAAGGGTCAAGTATGAAGAACTGAATGCCAAAGGTCGAGTACGAAAGGACAAATATGAAAGTCTAAGTATAGAGGATTGATTGAATGGGAAGATCATTAAGTGTGGAGACTCTTAAGTTAGACGCAGCTTATTTGGACGTTCGACGTTTTTAAAACGCCGAACCCTCGTTTGGCTATTGCGTTCGAAGGAGCGGCCGCAATATGCGCGTAACTATTTACGTTATATCGTAAGGGAACGTCTGCCGCGGAGAGAACCTGCGTTTCGTCACAGCTTATTACCCGTGAGCCCCTGGTTCCGTTTTCGTTCCCGCATCGGTGCCCATGCCTTGCGATCAATTGCCCGCAACGATATCATTTCTCGCCCCACAATTCTGTTTGACGCAGTTTCTTTGGACGTTCGACGTTTTTAAAACGCCGAACCCCCGTTTGGTTTTTGCGTTTGAAGGAGCGGTCGGAATATACGCGTAACTATTTACGTTATATCGTAAGGGAAAGTTTACCGCGGAGAGAACCTCCGTTTTGTCACAGCTTATTACCCATGAGCCCCTGATTCCGTTTTCGTTCCTGCATCGATGCCCATGCCTTGTGATCAATTGCCCGCAACGATATCATTTCTCGCCCCTCAATCCCGTCTACCATTCTCCTCTCCCATTCCTATCTGTGGCCTGGTACCGTTCCCTCCCAGATCTTGTGCATTTGAAACAAATTTCGCAGGTAATCTCTTTGTATTGCACGGGTCACCTATGGTATTGCACGGGCTTATTCCTTCTCTGTGAAATTTGTTTCTACTATTTTTGATTTTGGTATGCCTTTTTCCTATTGAGTTTTCATTAACCCTACTGTCTTGGCAACTGTGAGAAATGCACATTGATAAATTGTTGGGTGAATGCATTTAAATGCAGTTTTGAGAAGATGGCTATGAACTTTGAGAAATGTAGTCAACTATGAGATTTGGTATTAAGGGTTGTGAAGGTGCATTTCATAATGCTATTAAGGGAGATGAGGGTACTGATCCCCCATGCTATTGAGATAAGTAACGATGAGGAAAATATCTGTTTGATTGATGGGATTATTTCTTAGGATGATGTGTTGGAAAATGTTGACAAAGGTAATTTGGGGGTATTGAGAAATGTTATTTCTTCTTCTAGTTCTAACTTCTATTTAAATAAGGGTTATTTGCCTTTGATTCATTACAAATCTCCTTAATATAGAAGTGATTAGTAATATATGTTTTGATAACCCTGGGAATGATAATATGGAAATTTGTCTTGTTCTTACTTGAGCTGAGCTCGAAGAGGAGTGGTTACTTCAAAAAAGTGGAGAAAGATTTAAGAGGTATTAGAGAGCTTAACTATTAGGGGTCGACATTATGAATCCTTATTTGCCACTCATTTCATTTTTGAGATATGTATGAGATTTGTTCATATACTAAAGTTTATCAGTTTTCTTGAGCCTCTTTTGGCTATGCAAAATAATGAGAAGCAAAGTAAAAAGTTTTTATTAATGTGTACAATCTTGAGAAATGTTGTTTCTTCTGCTAGTTCTAATTTCTATTTGAATAAGGGCGATTTTTTTTTGATTCAGGACAAATCTCCTTAATTTTTAGAAGTGGTTAGTAATAGATGTTTTTATTAAACCCAGGAAGGATAATATGGAAATTTGTCTTCTTCTTACTTGAGCTGAGCTGAAAGAGGAGTCGTTAATTCCAAAGAGTGGTTAATTTGAATTATTGTTGTTTATGTTGGCCATAATAAAGTTGCTAGATGGGAACTCTCAAAGCAGTTATATTAAGGAAGCTTGGTTAGTTGGTGACAATTTCACTATCATCACTTCTACTTGTGAGAAAAAATGGGACTCACCTCCCAACTTAATCTGCTCTTTGATTTTTTTTATGTTCTTTTTGATGTTGGAAGCTTGGTTATATAACTGCTCTCGAAGCAATTCTATCAAGGAAGCATTTATATTCTCTTTAGTTGGTGGTGATTTGAATCTCAACCTTCTCAAGTGTGAGAAATGCAGTTAACTGCGATTTTACAATTTCACCTAGGTACTTATATATGTTGCTTAAAATATGTTAGGTGATGGGTGTAAAGGGGATCCAGACCGAGATATGTTGTTTTGGTCTTTAATTCAGGGTGTTTCATTTGATGCCCTTCCCTTTAACTAGGCTCATGTTTATGGAGTTATCAAAGGTTTTTTCCTTTTTTTCCTGCAATTGTTTAATTTTATCAATACCGTTAGATTCCATTTTACAAGCATATTTTCATTTCTTTCTATAGCAAGATTTCTCATGTCACGGTTTGGAGATATTTTGTATGAGATAGTTTGTTATTAACATAGTTTTATGAGGGACTCTTTGGAAGATGATTCTCTATGATTGGGAACTACTGATCATCTTTAGATAGCTATTCATCTTTTGAATTTTGCAGAGCTTTGAAGCGAAAGTTCACTCTTACTATTATTGGGTTAGGTAGTTGATTAGTTAATGATTGATAGCTAAAACCATTTGAAGAAGTTATGAGTGAGATTTGCTGGTGGTATAAATTTCTGATGATGTTTTCCTATGGGAGCTGTTGTTCATCTTCAAATGGTTGTTCATTTTATGTATATGGTGATCCTTGATGTGGAAGTTGTATCTTGCTTTCCTTGGGTTGAACAAGTGCTTGATATAGGGGAAGCCATTATACTGAAGCCAATTATTTAACAGTGAGTTAGAAAAGCTTCAAAATATTTTCTCTTTTTTTACTGTCATAAAAGCTTTTTGGGATTTGCTATGTTTTTGTTGATTGTTGTTCTGTTAACTATAGATACAGTGTCTATATCATGCATAATATCAGCCTCTATTTTGTATTTCTTGTGAGCCTTTGCTTCAATCATCTGTACCTTGTTCTCGAGAAACATTGGGGAGATAAGTTACATAACAACTTTAAATAAATGCTTTCCCCCATTCTATTTTTTTTTCTTCTGGTTCAATGTATTGGATGTTGATAGTTCAAGGGATTCTTCTAGTATTGCTGGCAACCCGCTATCTGGATTTGATGGCAACCTGCTATCCAAATTTGATGACCATATTGGATTGTTGGAGTTAGGCCATTTACGTCATATGCTGAGCATATTGCATCCTTTTTTAAAATATTTTGTTTGCTAACAATTATTACTTGTAATTATATTTTAAGTTCCTTATAATTTCAACATGTCTAAGATGAATGAAGGGGGTCTGTCTGATATGTGGGATAAGGAAATTACAAATATTTTGTGCAATATCTGTATTAAAGAAATATAACTCTGAAATAGACTAATCACATATTTTAAAAAGGAAGGTTGGCAAAATATTGTGAAGAGGTTCAAAGAATTGACTAGAAGGGATTACGACAGACACAAATTCAAAAACAAATGGGATCAGCTGAAGAAGGAATGAAAAATATGGAAACCAGCTGAAAAGTGGATCTACTAGGTTGGGTTGGGATCTCATTAAGCGGACAATCGATGCTTCAGATAAATGGTGGGTTGAGAAATTAAATGTAATATTTATACTTTCAATTTATTTATTCTCATAATGTTTTGGTTTAACAAATAATCCTTCTAAACCCCCTCCTCAATACAATGTTACATGCAATGCCGACAACAAAAAAATATAAGAAGTGTCGAATTGAGCCAGACTTTGAAGATAAACTTGACATAATGTTTAAGGGGTTTGTC